GTTTTTCCGAACCCACTTGCTTCGCCCAAGTCTTCTTCTCAGAGCACCAGCACCGAGACCACTAGCTTGAGCCTTACTAGTGTAGATGTTTCGAGTTCAGATTTATCCACAGGAGCTTCTGTACCGTCCGATACCTCTCTCTCAGGCACATCCGGCCCCACCTTATCGAGCACATCAATTTCGCTCACAGGTGACCCAAACCTGATGAGCACACCATCTTCCGCCAACACATCAACATCTTCAGAATCCTCGCCTAATTTATCTCAAAGTACTTTCTCCCAGGGAGCTTTGGTGCCATCAACGCCGGGTGCGGTTTCTAGAAGCACGTCTAGTACAGAAACATCAACTACCAATGCTCTCACGGCAGTGCCAGGGGTACTTGCACCAGGCACGTCGTCTCTGTTTGAGTCTGCTACTACAACATCAACATCTCCTAGCTCATCAGCCAGCATTCTACCCAATTCCCTTTCGAGCAGTGCATTGAGTAACACTGCACCTACTTCAGTGACAGCTACTCCGGTTCAATCAAGTGTCCTTCCTTTCACATCTACATCTGAAGCATCCTCTTCGACCGATGGTAACAGCTTGTCTCTTTCAACCACTGCCGACATATCCACCGACTTGAGCATCTCCTCAAATGCCACTGGAACATCTTCTAATTTTTCCACCGGCTTGAGTACTTCGCCCTCTTCTACTATAGACATTTCCAGTAATGAGCCATCTTTCTCGTCTTCCAGTATAGTTGAGTCACAAACCTCGAGTTCGACAGACACTGCAGCTGGCTCGTTGTCAAGCTCTGAATTCTCAACCCAATCTGGGTTTTCAATCAGCTCGTCTAGCACCGAAATTGCGACCACTTCTGAAATAATCATCCCGTCTTCGGCACTTCCTAACATTCTTAGCTCTTCATCACCGAGCACAGAATCACCTTTCTCCGTTACCCCTCCCTCCTTGGGGGCTCCCACTTCTTCCAGAGCAGATTCGACCACCGCAACAACTGACGTTGTTTCCAGTGACTTGTCAGCCCTAGACTCTACCTCAACCTCTGCCCTCTCACCTAGTTCTAGCATCTCTTCGTCCGACCTAAGCACAGACATCGACTCTAGTAGTCTCTCTGCTTCACCCACAACATCTAGTTCTAGCTTGGTGACTCCAACAGCAACCTTTGTGACGTCTGTGGTTTTTTTCACAGGGACTGAGTCCTTCACTGGCACAGGCCTAGTCCCTCTCACCACTATTTACCCAAGCAACGGTAACGCCCCAACTGTGGTTTTTGGCGCGGCTAGAAGACTCTTTGCTTCTGTTGCTGTGCCTTATTCCGGTACGGGTATCATCACCGGACCTCAGCAAGTAAGCATCGTGTTGCCAAGCGGTTCGGACTCACTAGTAGTTGGAACAATCGTCTACGCAACACCTGACCCTCTTGTCACGTCTGAGGTAGACTACACAGGAATAGGCACCCTTACCTCGCCTCTTCCATTGACCACCATCTATCAATCAGGCACTGTCCCCGGGACCGTGATTTTGGCAAGACCGGCCATCTTTGCTACGTCTGAGATCAGTTCTACCGTCGGTTCCAGTACTTCGAGCGAGTCCTCTACTCCTATCGATTTCAGTACGACATCGCAGTTCACAAGCTTGGTCGGAAGTAGTTCGTCGTTAGAGACGAGCTCCGATTCAACATCCAGTTCACCGCTTTACTCTATCTCAGCCTCTGTTTCCTCTAGAAGCTCATCAGGACCGAGCGATGTTTCCGAGTCTATCACCTCGAGCTTGCCTACTGTCCTAGCTGATTCCAGTACATCGAGCGAAGTACAGCTGGGACCAAGCAGCCTTGCACCGGTTTCCTCATCAACTTCATCCGATAGCTTAGGCTCGATGATTAGTGATCTGAGTTCTTCATCGATCATCTCAGTCTCCTCAGTTGATTCCACTTCAAGCCCAGAGCCGACAAGCTTTAGCACAACACCGACGGGTGTCAGCCTCCCAACCAGCGGCAGCATCGATCCGGCGTTGCTGAGCATATCTTCAAGCTCGACAAGCGATGTAATTTCGTTAATCTCCACGAACGAAAGCTCCGCTTTTTCAATCCCAACGACAACACCAGCTGAGCTAGATACCACAGTGGCCCAAGCAACATTGCAGTCGTCTGATACAAGCATCGGGGTGTCTTCTCCCAACACCATCGAGTCGAGCGACTTTGTGTCTTCATCCCTTGCGATTACATCTTCTACTACTTTTTCTCCTGATATCAGTTCTACCACTGATACTTCTTCGATCGATGTAACGACTTCCATCGAGGTTCCTTCATCTTTGGAAAGTGGCTATTCATCCGAAAGTACCATTCCGGTTATTCCCTCAACCTCGGATCAGACCGACATCTCTAGTTCAGCCCCGACCGCATCTGCCCTCTACGACAGCATCCAGATACCCTTCACAGGTACTGATCAGTTATCCACTCCGATTCCTGTCAGTACAGTACCTCCGAGCGGGAGCATTCGCGGAACCATTGTCTACGCCGCGCGGTTCCTCACCTCGACAGTGTTGGGTCCGGGTCAATCCACAGTCACCCTTTCGACTATGCAGCCTTCTGGAACACAATCTCTTGGCTTGGTAGTCATTGCAGTTCCTGCCTCTCCAGAGCCGTCGACGGCGCCGTCTATCACGTCTGATAATGGAGGAGCCTTCTCCAGCAAGATCAGCTCTGAGTCATCAGCCACTTCACTCACAACTTCGGTAATTTTGGCATCTTCAGCAGCTGAGACAAGCAACACCAACTTGAGTGAAAGCACCGACAGCACTGGAACTATCGAACCTAGCACAATTCTTGAATCAACCAGCGTCACGACGACATTCAGCGAAGTCGCAAGCACGAGCGCCATCAACACCGGAACAGATACATCCTTTGCTTCTCTACTTACGACCAGCAACTCGAGCTCTTTGAGTGACGCTCTTTCAACGTCTAGCCTAAGCAATCTACAGAGTAGCAGTACCTTCTTCGAGGCCCTTAGTATCGAGACGAGCGCTAGCACTTCGAGTACTATCAGATCAGAAGCAAGCAGCTCCATTTCTACCAACAAAACCTCAACTGACGCCAGTTCTTCGTTCTCTTCCACTGTCTCGAGCTTTTCCATTGGGCCTCTTACTACAACTACGGAAGCTGACAGCAGCGACAGCGTCTCAATGACAAGTAGCACCAGCGACTTCGAGACAGTTCCCACAGCACTTGCTTCTCTGATATCCACCACCGATTCCAGCTCCGTGTCAGGCTCATCCACTACAGTGAATGACATTACTTCAGGGTCCAGCAGCTCAATTGAGGAAACCGCCAGTTTGGCCTCAAGCATTGAGATCTCTTCGACAGCTTCTTCAAGTCTTTCATCCGAGACAACCAGTATTTCTCCTGACACCACTACCATAGATGCTTCTTCGTCCCTTTTATCGACTAGCCCTGATACGAATACCTCCTTGTCTTCGGATTCCACGAGCAGCGGTCTAACAGCAACCGCTTCAATCCCTTCTGAGACTACGCAACTCTCAAGCATGTCAGAATCTAGGGACACTGCTTTTTACGTCACCTCGCAACTCATCTATACAGGCCCCTCTTCGCTGTCTGAGCCTTTCCCATTGAGCACCGTCCAACCAACTAACGGATCTCCGGGTACTGTTATCTTGGCAGTCCCAGCCTCGTTCTATGCCACTTCTACTTTGATCTATACTGAAGGCGACTCCTATATCGTTCCGTCTGCTATCAGCACAGTTGCGCCGTCCGGAACAGCTAAGGGCACCGTCATCTTTGCCGCTCGCTACGCAGTGGCTAGGGTTGCGTACTCGGGAACTTCAGTCATCACGGAGCCCATCCCCATTGCCACATACCCGGGCAGCGGGACAGACATTGGCACTATTGTCTATGCCGATCCTCCGTCAAGCTCAGCAACATCAGAGATATCGCCTACTACATCAACATTTTCAAACTCTCTTGATTCGATCACTTCCTCGGTCACCTCAGTTTCGTCAATTTCCTCCGACGCGGAATTCTCTTTTTCGTCGACGAGTAGCGCATTTCTGTCTGCTATTTCTTCGTCACTGGAGGCTTCCACTGAATCTTCAACATCTTCGAGCGTCAGTATCGCATTCAATCCTAATACATTGCTGCCGAGTTCAACGTCCGAGTTGACGACGGAGGAGCCGACAACCTCGAGTACACTGCTTTCCGGGGCGACATCATCTTCATCAAGCGACTCGGCAAACTCCGTAGGTACGACAGCTTTGTCTACGACTAGCCCAGATGGCCAGCAGTCGTCTACCAGCACGTCATTGAATGCAGAGTCAGCTACTTCAAGCACTTTGATCACTGGACCTACCTCAACAACAACAACCACTTCATCGTCTTTGCTATCTTCAAGCTCTTCGGAAACTACTGGCCTCGACACGCCGTCACCTATGTCGAGCATTTCGTCATCGGGCGTGGAAAGCAGTGCTTCGACTACCTCATCTAGCGATTCTTCTCTGTTCACTCCTACATCCTCATCTGACTCGAATTTTACAACCAGTAGTGACCCGCAAACGCCATCAGTGACGCTTACTCCTAGCTCAGCCACCACTGTCACATCGACAAGCGACTCTGTGGATGGGACCTCGACCAGCTCTTCGGCGGGCTCTTCGTCATTATTCTCGAGCATAGCGACCACTACTGAACCCGATACGGTACTTCGAACATCGACCGGTACATCCACCAGTGAAGGTTCCTCTGTATCGAGTATCTCAACTTCAGGCCCGAGCCCTCCATCAATATCGAGTTCTTTTGAAGGTTCATCCTTATCCACGAGCACTCGGAACACAGTCGAGATCAACACCTTGCTGTCAACATCTAGCGACTCAACAACGACAAGCTCAGTGTCCTTATCTGATATTTCTTCTGTATCGAGTAGTGCAACTTCAGAGCCCATTTATCAGACGACCTCAAGCTTTATGGACGACTCCACATCTTCCTCTAGCACTCAGATTACTGCTGAGATAAATACCTTGCTACCGACATCTACCGGGTCAACAACGGCAAACACCGAGACAACTTCCTCGTCTCTCGACTCGAGAAGCTCATCCGGAATTCTTTCTGCATCAAGCTCCACTATTGCCTCTGATACATTATCATCCATCACCAGCACCACGTCTACGAGTAGCTCATCATCTGCTGCTCCAACAATTGACCCCGCTAGTCTTGCCTCGACGTTTACAGAATCGCCGACGACTGGTGCCACTTCTCCTCTTTCCTCGAGTTCAAATCGAAGCTCGTCGTCCGTATCCGATTCCGAAAGCTCAACTGAGGCCACGTCCAGTTCGTCGCTTTCCTCTTCGTCAAGTTCGACCGGGCTGTCTCTTTCTTCGAGCCCAACGATTGATCCAGCTAGTCTGATCGCAAGTTCAGAGTCATCTTTCTCAAGCTCAACGACATCTTTCGCCAGCTCGACCGCCGAATCCACAACTACCATTTCAAGCTCGACTTTGCCCGCATCTTCTACTTCTTCCACCTCTGCGTCCTTCAGTACGACAAGCGATGCAGCAACCCAGGTCACTACGTCTGAGTCATCATCGGCAAGCACTACGAGCACCTCTTTGCTAGCGTCTTCGTCGCTATCCACCTCTTCGGCCGCACCAGGGGTCACTCCTTCAGCCTCATCTGAATTGTCAGTCATCTTGTCTACGTCTTCAAGTGCACCAATAGATCAAGCAACGCTACTGCCTACTTCGGCGGGGTCAACGACAAGTACAGCCGGAGAACCAAGCTCCCTGTCGCTCACATCTTTATCATTGGCCTCCTCCTCCTCAAGCGCCCCAGATGCCACTTCCTCAAGCTCATCTGATTCGATATCCAATTCAATTGCTTCCTCTACTTCTTCGAGTGTAGCGTTCGATGTAGAAACTTCGCTTTCTACTTCAGAAACATCGTCAACTAGCAATTCGATCTTCCCATCATCGTCAACATCATCCTCCACATTTTTATCCAGCTCTTCCTCTGGACCTGCTACCACCCCATCTATTACATTTGTGTACACGACTATTTTCCTCACGGCCTCTGACTCGCCAGACTCAACCATTATTGCTTCAATTGATCCAAGCGGTACTCAAGCTGGCACCATAGTTGTCGGAAGGCGGGCACAATTTGTCACTGTCACTCGCCCATACAGTGGAACAAACACTCTGAGCGGCGGTGCAACCACTGTCAGCATTGTTCAGCCGCAAAATGAACAGCCCGGGACAGTCTATGTTGAGACGACTCCAACTGCGGCAGTCTCTACTTCTAGTTCGACATCGACCAGCCCCCAGTCAACATCGTCAACCTTGATTTCCACGAGCTCTTCAACGTCTGAATCGCTTGCAAGCGCTTCTTCCACGAGTCCTAGCGCTTCGTTGTCAAGCACAACTAATGCTGTTGAGCCAAACACTTTGCTGTCGAGCACGAGTTTTTCTTTGATGAGCTCGTCTTACAGCTCAGACTCGCTCTCGTCGACCTCAACTTCGGAGGTGCTGTCGACTTCAGATAGCACTTCCGAAGGTAGTACTGGATTGTCTTCTGTGTCGACTTCCATCACATCTCCCGGTACCTTGAGTATCACGTCCTCAACTCCATCCAGTACTATCGAAGCGAATAGCCTGCTGCCGATCACGAGTGTTTCTTCGATGAGCGCCTCGTCCAGCTCGGAGCCCCTGTCATCAACTTCTACATCACAGTCCTTATCTACGTCTACATTACAGTTTTCATCGACATCGAGTAGTACCTTAAGCCAGTCCCTCAGCGGCAGCTCAAGTAGCCTGGTGAGCGGGTCCTCCAGCAGTTCACTCAGCAGCTCTTCTTCTTCTTCTTCTTCTTCTTCTTCTTCTTCTTCTTCTTCTGCCAGCTCAGCTTCATCGAGCCCGGCTGCCAATCCCGCAACTTTGTTGTCGACATCATCGACTGCCGCGTTGCCATCAAGTACCAGCACAACCGAGTTAGCTAGTTCAAGCTCAGTTGGCTCTTCCAGCACTTCCACGACCACAAGCGTTTCAAGCACATCGTCGACGTCCTCGCCAAGCAGCTCCCCATCATCAAGTATCACAGTCGACCAGGCCACATTGCTGCCGACCACCACTAGTGCTTCTTCGACATCGACTCCGGGATCAAATTCCAGCTCGACCGCATTCTCTTCCTCTGGTTCCTCCAGCACGAGTCAAATATCAAGCTTATCAACGACAGCGAGAGCCTCATCGACGTCGACGTCTTCAAGCATTACGGTTGACCAGGCCACCTTGCTGCCGACGACCTCAAGTGTTTCTTCGACGTCAGCGTCAGACTCAAGCACTAGTTTATCCGTGACGTCCTCTTTAACTTCGTTCTCGAGTCTCTTCAGCACAAGTCAGAGCTCATCGTCGACCGCACCCACATCACCGACACAGACCTCAACGAGCAGCTCCGCAAATAACTCATCTCCCACAAGCCCAACTACGAATGCTGCTACGCTGCTCCCAACATCGACTAGTACATCATCAGATCAAAGTTCGAGCTCCTCTAGCGCATTTTCGACGTCTTCCAGCTCATCGATCAGCATTTCTGCTTCTCAAACTTCGTCTTCTTCAAGCAGCCTTCTCACCAGCTCATCGTCCCCAAGCTCATCATTCAGTAGCTCTACTTCTTCCAGCGTGTCTGTTAACCCCGCCACATTGGTACCTACAACTTCTAGCACTTCGACGAGCAGCTCTTCAAGCAGCTACCAGAGCAGTTCATCGTCAACAAGCACCTATTCTAGCCCCGCTATATCTTCATCTGCGTCCAGCGGTACCTCAACGCCAATCAGTACCTCCTCGTCAATCATCTCAAGTACATCTTCAGTCAGTGCAACGGCGAACGCCGCCACGCTTCTTCCCACAAGTAGTAGTACAATATCGTCTTCTTTGAGCAGTTTCAGTGGCAGTTCTTCTTCTTCTTCTTCTAGCTCTGCAGTCAGCGGAAGCTCCACTACTAGCGTTACATCATCTAGCAGTAGCTCGTTCAGTAGCTTTTCCTCTGCCAGCCCAACTGCCAACGCCGGCACACTGCTTCCTACGACAAGCAGCGCAATAGGGTCGTCTTCAAGCACTATGACTAGCAGCTCGTCGTCGCCGTCGAGGTCAACGTCTATTTTAGGCTCCACTACCGGTAGTACCATCTCTAGCAGCACTTCCTCCGCCACTGCAACAGTCAATCCAGCTACGTTGCTGTCACCAAGCATTAGTTCAACAGCCACACCATCGAGCAGCTCCCCAAGCAGCTCTCTATTCTCTCTCAGCTCGTCGACCAGCTCAGCCACAGTTGTCTCTACTAGCAGCAGTGCAATTGCTAGTAGTAATCTGTCTAGCACGTCTTCTTCTTCGTCCAGCGCAACAGTCAACGCAGCCACACTCCTTTCAATGACCAGCAGCGCTTCTACAAGCAGTCTTTCGACCATCTCATCTTCATCTTCAAGGGCAACGACAAGCTCCTCATCAATTGCGACGAGTATCTCTTCTGTCAGCACTACATCGTTCTCGTCTTCTTCATCCAGTCTGACGGTCAATGCGGCTACTCTGATATCCACCTCCACTAGCGGGACGCCCACGAGCAGCAGCTCTGCCACCAGTTCGTCCCCCAATATCGCAGCAAGTTCTTCGAGTTCAATCTCCACCACCAGTACCACTTCTACGAGTACGAGCAGGTTCTCGAGCAGCTCTTCGACTGGCACTTCGTCTTCTTCAAGCCCGACGGTTGAAGCAGCCTCAATGGTATCCATCACTAGCAGCACATCTACAAGCAGTAGTTCTCCTACCAGCTCAGTATCTCCCACTGCTACTAGCTCTTCGAGCTCGACATCCACGAGTAGCGGCACTACTACTAGCCCATCATTTAGCAGCTCTGCTCTTAGCTCTTCTTCCACTTCTTCGAGTGCGACGGTCAACGCAGCCACCCTGCTGTCTACAACGAGCTCTACAACAAGTGCTTCGCCAAGTGCCTCAACAAGCAGAAGCTCGACATCTACCACGGCGTCTGTGAGCAGCTCACCAAGCAGCTCTTTTAGTAGTTCTCCGAGTAGCTCTACCACTGCAGCTACGGCGAACCAAGCAAGCTTGATCTCTACATCCAGCAGTGCCTTTATTAGCGGTTCTACCACCAGCTCTACCACTAGTAGTTCTACTACTAGCAGTATATCGAGTGCCTCTTCGAGTTCGCCTACTAGTGTCACGGTCAACCCCGCAACTTTGATTCCCACAACAAGCAGCAGTAGTAGCAGCAGTAGTAGCACGACGAGCAACAGTATTCCCACGAGTAGCAGTAGCTCGAGCAGCATTCTTTCAAGCACCTCATCTTCGAGCGCCACAGTTAACGCGGAGAGCTTAGTCTCGACTACAAGCAGCCCTACAACATCAACCACTAGGACCTCAACCTCATCATCACTCTCACCGACCTCGAACAGCTCTTCCTCAAGCACAGTTGCAACTTCGTCGTCGTCGTCTTCTCCTTCTTCTTCTTCTTCTTCTTCTTCTTCTTCTTCAAGCTCATCTGCTAGCGTTGCGCTCAACACCTTGCTGACTTCATCGAGCGCTTCCACATTCTCCACACTGACGAGATCGTCATCTTCCTCGACGTCTTCATCTACTTCAAGCAGCTCTTCTTCGTCTTCTCCAAGCAGCGTTAGTGTCCAGGCAAATACGCTGGCCTCAACTAGCTCGATAAGCAGCACTTCCTCAACGACAATCACGACAAGCACCACATCGACCTCATCGTCCTCCTCAAGAGCCAGCAGTACCTCGACATCATCTTCAAGCTCGACGACCTCTTCTTCTTCACGAACTACTACTTCAACTAGCAGCTCGTTCAGCTCGAGTAGTAGAAGCACGAGCACTTCATCGACTTCGTCCAGAGTTGTGGCTTCAGCGACGCAAGGCCCCGCATTCTCGTGCCCCACGACCGGATTCCTCATTCAGTCCCTGACCCTATTTTCACTGAACCTGGCCACCGGTGAGCGAACCCAAATTGCTGACAACGTGGGCGGAGACTCAGCCCGCAACATCAACGCCTTGGGCTACAACGCAAGAGAGGACTACCTCTACGGTATCTCCCAAAACGAGGGCGCAACTGACTTCAAGATCATCCGCATCCTGGCCAACGGCACAGGCACCTACGTCTCTACGGTCAGCAAACTCACAACTGGTCTGTTCAACTCGGGCGACATCGACGAGAACGGCCAGTACTGGATCTCAACTGGTGGCACCGACTACTACCAGTACAACTTCGCTCCCGGCACGTCAAACTACGGAGGTCTTGTCAGCAGTGGTAGGCTTAGCGGTACTGGGGGTTACACTATTGGTGACTGGACAGTCGTGCCTGGCGTCGGGGGTGGAGATCTATGGTCCATCGGCGTGAGCGGTCAATCTGCCTACCTGTTGCGCTGGAACCGGTCTACCCACCTCTTCACAACGGTTCGCAACTTGGGCAACCTCACAGGAGCAAGTTCCAGTACGACGCCTTTCTGGGGAGCCAGTTATGCCACCACAGATGGGTACCTGTTCGCGGTCGAAAACGGCACAGGCCAAATATGGCGTATTGCTGTCGATGGCTCTTCCGCCCCCTTGAGATTGAAAGATGCACCAGTCAGCAGTCGAAATGATGGTGCCAGATGTTTGGACTCTGGTGCCATTATTGTTGGTAGCTAAGCGTGGCCTGATGTCTCAATGGATTTTACTTCTTCTTTGTCTTTGCAAGGCCTTCGTAACATGTAATGTTTACCTAGGGTAGTATCGCATTGGGATATGTTTTGCTTCTACAAAGTTCATCGCGAACGATAGTTAAAGAACACGACTCAGACACTGAACCGAAACACAATGATAAAACTTCAGTTGGAAATATCCGAAACCAAGTCGTTTATAAATGCCAATTGCCAAGAGTCGGTTCCGAGGCGTCTGGTTGCTATCTCGAAGGCTCCATTACCGCAGTGTATCTTATCCAGTGCCCGTATGAACAAGACCCTGGTGCCAGCAGAAATTTCCCAGGCAACTAAGCCACATATGGTCGCATAAAGCACCAAATTTCCCACAGAGACTAAATATGGCATCGATGCTTTCGAGTCGCAGTGAAGATCAAGCTACTTCACTCCGAGACCCCAGGCCGGTGCTGGCAGTAGACACCAGACCTAAATGTTATTCATTTCCAAAGTAACAGTGCCCGTACTTAAAAGGGTGTCTGAGCAACCCTGTATTCTTCGGAACCCTGATTTATTCACTTCCAGGCATCATCACCTTGCATATATACCTGTATGTATAGATGTATATATACGAGGAAGTATCTGAAGACATGCGGTTCTTGTGATGGGATGATTATTGTAAGAGGTCAATATCGAGTTATGGCACGATCAAAGGCCCTACCTCCAACTATTCAATACGACCCAACCAATACGGATACAGTTACCATGCTCAACGTAGCTATGTGCAGGCATACGGATCCTAGGGAACCTCATCACCAGGCTGTAAATAACTAAGTAACTACGAAGTAGCGAGAGTTCTCTACACCAAATTCACGATAATATCAGTGGCTGAGATTGTTACATAGCACCAACACGCAGGGGCATTGAAGCCTAGCCATGCCCGTGCGATCAGCCAGCACATGCTAATTGATTAAGTTTCCGACTTGTTTAGCACAACGATTCGAAGAGTCAGCCTTTCTACATGTGCTTTCGAGTGTACAAATTCAAGTGAGGGCATTCCTAAAGAAATTCTTACTCCAAGGTGTAAGGCTGAAAGGTAGGCACGCAATAATGCTTAGTGCGTCTTCAAGCGTAACTGGCAGTTCTGTGCCCGTTTCAAATAGGACTGCATGCTAGCTGCAAATAATCCCCAGATCTTCAATCCCGCGTTGCTGATATAGACTTTAGGGTTATACCACAGACCAGCATCAGTCAAGCTTCAACTTGGTCACGCGGGCTTTGAAGTCTCCCGAGTCCCAAAGTTCCAACGAGTCAAGACCCATGCTAATTTTGGCACAGATTTGGCACTAGAGGATCGAGTTTCTCTCCGTAGTTACCCATCACAAGGGTCGCAAGGGATCCCAGCCCGCCTTAAATTGCTTAAAATGCATCCCCAAGACAACTGAAAACTGTGAAAAATGACGCTTTGTGCTGTAAATCATCAGGCTTAGCTTTACATCCACGGTCGCTATGAACTCTGACGTCGCCGGTTCCGCACAACAACTTGATTTTCCTCTGCCTCCCCCATCTTCAGAATTTTCGCCCGTTGGTTGAGAGTCATTCAAACCAACAAATATCATATCACACCGGGGTCACCGGATGTCACGCCACATATAGCATTGTTTACCTATTCCCACTCCACTGCGAAAATCGCCAAGATGCCAAAAGAGGAGGAAAAAAGGGGTTCGCCATTCAAATTGGGTAGGACCCGGAGGGACTTACATGGGGTCTCCACCGCGGATTGACCGTTACACTGCCGGCAGCCGAGGCTCGGGATGAGAGGTTGAAGAACTACATAGACGGCGATGGTTCCTCACTCGCTCGTTTTTTCTCTCTTTCGTCTCTCCAGTGCCATCATTGATTGCATCCACACTCGTTTTCGGCAGTCGTTCTTTGAGTCTGGATCAAGATGAGCGCCGTCACTAAGTTTGGGTTTGAGTATCAGACTGCCATTATCAATGGCGTCGAGTATAACTACATTCACGCCGAGCCGGCAGGCAAGGTACTGGGCACAATCTTCCTCATCCACGGGTGGCCCGATATGTCCCTGGGATGGCGCAACCAGATTCCTTACCTCCTGTCCAAGGGCCTCCGGGTCATTGCTCCTGACATGATGGGATACGGAGGTACCGATGCGCCCGCCGACGTCGACTTCTAGTGAGTCTCTTGCTTCCAATTCCATATCTGTGTCGACGAGTAAAGCTTGGGCAATGACTAACCAACGCAACCAGCACATTCAAGCGCGCCTCAGATGACATTGCCGCCCTCGCCAGCCACCTCGGCCTCTCGCGCATCATCCTTGGCGGCCACGACTGGGGCGGAGCGGTCGTCTACCGCGCAGCCCTCTGGCACCCGGAGCTGATCTCGGCCTTCTTCGTCATCAGCACCCCCTTCGCGCCCCCGCGTCTGGCATACGTCGATCAGGCCACCGCGCTGCCCACACTGCACTACCAGCTACAGTTCCGCACCGATGCCGTCCAGGACTACATTGGCCTCGGCGACGTCCAGAACGCCACCCGCGTCCGCCAGATCCTCAACACAATCTACGGCGTCAGGCTGCCTAGCGGCGCATCGGCCTTCAACTCCAGCGGTGCCGGATTCGACTTTGACTTGCTCGATGGTGTGACGACGGACACGTCGTTGCTCAGCGAGGAGGAGCTCGACTACTACGTGGAGAACTATGCCGGGAGCGACCCGTTCAACAGGACGCTCAACTGGTACCGCACCGGCGAGCTCAACTGGCAGGACGAGCTCGCGCTTGTCCCTAGCAATACTACCGCATACACGGCCAAGTACTCGCAGCCTGCGCTGTACATTGGCGGTTCTCTCGACTCGGCGCTTCCTCCGATTTTGTCGACGGGTATGGAGACGTACTTTGATAGCTTGTCCAGGGGCGAGGTGAATGGCACGCACTGGGTCATGTGGGAGAAGCCCGAGGATGTGAACAGCTATGTTGGTAACTGGTTGAGCAGCTCACTATTGGGAAATTTGAGTATCGGTGTGAATGCCACGGCTGGGAGCGCTCTGGCTCTGCTGTGATCGGTGAGATGTCGGTAGAGGGCCTGGCCTCTGAAAGGACAATGATGCGTATGACCATAAAAATCAGCATTTAATAGAAGAATCTTACCATGACTCAATCTCAATCCCAAGAAGCGCCGCTGTGAAGTCTGAACGCAATTGATCGCCTGAACTCATGATTTGAAGTCATCAACGCTGCATCTAATGGTGGGGTGAGGGATGTGCGATGATGCAGCTGCAGGAAGGGACCATGCGTTCACTGCCCGCAGGCCCAGCTGTTTGAACCCCACCGGAGCCACTTACGCCGACCTCCGACTCCACTCAAAATTTCTAGCTCACACTTCATCCCACCTCAGACAAGTCCAAGATCACATCGTATTGCGCCTCAATTGAGAGGATTGCCTGCTTTCTCGTTGGCCCAACAGATATCACGACAATGGCTGCCTCTAAGGGCCTCCCTCGCGACACGTTCGCCAAGCTCTCCCCTCACCCCTTCCTCCTCGCAAATCTCCAGCCTCCCGCGCCCGCCAACGCCGCGAGAAGCAACGGCCGCGCACCCAACGAGGCTCGAATCCCCAATGTCAACACTTCCAGCTTGACCCACGCCAACGGAAGCGCCGTGGTGCGTACGGGCGATACAACCGTCATTTGCGGTGTCCGTGCTGAGACACTTCTCGCCTCCGATATCCCCAACTTCCGCACCGCCGCGAACCTCAATAACGACAGCGGCAAGCCCAGCTCAGAGCTGAAGGACTACGACTTGCTCGTCCCCAACATCGAGCTCGCCACCGGCTGCGCGCCGCAGTTCCTCCCCGGCGTACCTCCCACCACACTCGCCCAGACTCTCAGCACGAGAGTATACTCGCTACTGCATTCCTCCAACCTCGTTGACCCAGAGAGCCTGAGAATATGGTACACTCGCCCTACCGAGAACGCCGGGGCGGAAGACGATGATGGGGATGATGAGATGGACGAGGACGAATTGAAGCCCGAGGGCGAAAAGGTTGTTATGGCGTACTGGGTTTTGTACATCGACATTTTCTTCATCTCCTTCGACGGCAACCCCTTCGACGTTGCCTGGGCCGCTATCCTGGCCGCTCTCCGCGACACAACAATCCCCGTCGCGCGATGGGACCCAGACCGCGAGATGGTCGTCTGCACCCGAGAGAGCCCCAAGCCCCTGACGCTGCACGGCTTTCCCGTCGCCTGCACAGCCGGCGTCTTCACAGGAAAGGAGACGACGGACCGGCCCGCCGCCGGCAAGTTCTGGGCTCTGGTCGACCCGGACAGATTGGAGGAAAGTCTATGTGATGAAGACGTTACGGCGGTGGTGGATCGAAGTGAGGGAGAGACGAAGGTATTGACGATATCAAAGCATGGAGGAACGGTACTGCAGCCGCAGCTCATACGGGAGTTTGTGGGTGTTGCGGAGCAGAGATGGGAGCAGTTTTACAAGGCCATGGCATGAAGATAATGATACCCACCAAAAGGAAGACACAAAAATCCAAGACGTTTGGGCAAAGGAAGCTTTCCCCTCTGATGTATCCTCAGGCTATGCTCGACCCGTGCAAGGTGGTAACCGATTCCCCCTATCGTGAGCTTTGGTGTGCCAGCCGCCTTTCACCCACCAGCCGCCTTTGGTGCGGCCCGGGTGAAGGTGAAGGCCCATACCTGCTTGAGCCCATCAACTTCCATTATCTTTTCTCTGACACGATCTTCTAAAGCTCCCAGGCCTCTTTCCTTACATCACCTTGCAAAATCAGCATTGCTGGAGGAAAGATAAAAAAATCATCACTACTTTCTGGGAATTTTATTCCAGAAAAACCAAGCATCATCATCCAGTCATGGCCCCCATGCATTCTCGAATCCAGGAGGCCTCGAAGGAGGAACTCGTCATGGTCCTCAAGGCCGTCTGCAGCTTCACCGGCACCCACTACCACGTCAAGAGCGTCCTCGACTACCTCGATGAGAAAAAGCAGTCGGACGCCGCGGCCGCCGCCAGCCGTCGCCTTCGGCAGTCTACCCACGCCTCCTTGTCTATGAAGAGTTGGGCTCAGCCGGTTCCCAAGGTTGTGAAGCGCAACATCAAGATGTGCTGCAACTGCGAGTTGCCCTTCATCGAGAACGAGAACACTGATGAGTCTTGCCGCCATCACCCTGGTGCGTTGTGATCCAACCAAAACACGCCCCCTACTTCATTTTTGTTCGGTATGGAATGGAAATATGCTGACGAAGTACCTTCAACGCAATAGGCAAGTGGCTTCTCGAATGCGAGAAGGGCGATAAGATCGAGTTCGTGGATCTTGACAAGGCCGGCGAGGAGTTCACTTCCAACGAGCAGGCCCTGCGCATCCTCGACTGCTGCAACAGCGAGCGTGGCGTCAGCAAGGGTTGCATCGCGGGCAAGCACGTCGCCATGGTCGCGGGTGTCGACACCAGCGAGGTCTCTGTCTCATCCAACAACGGCCCTGCCGACAACTAAGGGCAAACCCGACAACACGATAACGAGACATGATTATGATACCACAAGAACCAATGAAGGGCACTTCTTTTTGGGGGTATAGGTCAGCTTGATTATACAGAGTCGTCGATACCTGAGTAAGGTACAGCAAAGTTGCGCTAGGAATTGTTACGAGGCATACGAACAGGTCACGGCAGGTTTTCGCGAGGTGACAGAGGACTATCAGGAGGACTGGACGGAGGCCTGGTTCATTTACTTCGGTTCATAAAATCAACTAAGCAAAAGCATAAAGCTTCTTCATCTCTATAAGGATCGACAGAGGTCTGCAAAACACACCAGACACACAATGAGCGTGACGCGGTGAAGATATGTATTCCACAATTCGAGCCACCTTTTCAGACGTTATTCTAAGGCGGCAGATACTAGGGAAATTCCTTCTACCGCCCGGCGCCGAGGAAGCCTAATGAAAGGCCCTCATGAGCTGCGAATCTACAGAATGTTGACTCGCAGCTTGGTTACCGAGCGGATGGTGAAAGAAGGAGAAAAGTAAGAAAGTCGCGCTTTCCTTGCGAAATTTTAGGCGAGCCAGCTACAGTGCCGAAAGGACAGTGCCCGCTATGGCTTTCACACATTTCAGCCTCCATTTCCAGGTTCCCCACCACGGAGCCCCATCGTCAATCTTCCAGGTTCCAACCTCAGCTCTCGACTTCTACCGCAAATTTTCCCTCCTCGCTCTTCCTTTCGACCTTACACTTCCAACACCATGGAATCGCTGGCCGAGCAGACGTGGGATGTCATACTCCACGGCACTGGCCTGCAGCAGTCGCTGCTAGCCTTGTAAGCTCCTCTTCTTCTTGGCCTCTCTTTTCTTTCCCAGCCCAAGTCGTCGTCGTCTTTCGGCATCGTTGTTTCTTGAAAAAGCCTCGATCTGACTGACGCAGTCTCGCTTGGCCGTGAAGAGCCCTCTCGCGGTCAGGAAAGCAAATCCTGCACCTTGACCCCAACGAATACTACGGTGGCCCCGAAGCCGCCTTCAGTCTGCAGGAGGTCGAAGAGTGGGCTGCTGCGAACGCCACTGTCGCCGACGATGCCACGGGATCATCGCGCGTCTTCTCGTCGGCGGTCGTGAGCAAGCCCGAGGTAGCGACAGGCTCTGGGCCTTCACTTTCCTTCCCGAGAGCCTACACCCTCGCTCTCGCGCCACAGATCATACACACCCGCTCAGAGCTCGTGAAGCAGCTCGTGTCGTCGCGCGCGTTCCGACAGATCGAGTTTCTTGCCGTTGGGACCTTTTTCATCTATACTCCATCAGTCGTCGGCAGCGGGTCCGAGAATGGAAGAGCGAGCCTTGTGCCAATCCCCTCAACTCGCGAGGCCGTCTTCTCCACGACCGCGATCCCCGCGAGGGCAAAGCGGTCGCTCATGAAGTTCCTCAAGTTCGTCTTCGACTACAACTCGGAGAACAACAAGGACATATGGGCTCCACATGCTGAGAAGCCTCTGTCGGAGTTCCTGTTGTCCGACTTCAAGCTGGACGCTGCGCTGCAGACCTATGTCGTCACCCTTACCTTGAGTCTGGACGGCAAGGTCACGACCAAGGATGGCTTGGCCGCTATCCACAGGCACCTCTCTTCCATGGGCGCCTTCGGGCCAGGCTTCGCCGCTGTGTATCCCAAATGGGGCGGCCTCTCCGAGATCGCGCAAGTCGGTTGCCGCGCATGCGCCGTCGGTGGTGCAGTCTACATGCTAGGCACGGGCATGAAAACCACGCGCCAGCTCGACGAAGGCCTGGAAGATGGTGCTCGCTTCGAGGTCGACTTGACCAGCGACGTCACGGTGAAATCCCGGGCGTTGATTCGCGGCACCGAAGAGGTTGCCTTCGACAGCCAGCGCGTGAGCAGGTTGACTGCAGTCATCAACTCGCCGCTCTCATCTCTGTTCGAGGCTGTTGTCGAAGGATCACCTACACCAGCTGTCGCAGTCATTGCATTTCCGGCCAACTCCATTGCCGACGTTGCATCATCATTCCCCATCTACGTCTTTGCTCACTCGAGCGAGACTGGGGAATGTCCAATCGGTCAGAGTAAGTTCACACAAATTTCTCCTTTTTCCTCACAAGCCCCTCCCTCGTACACATGATGATTTCAGAAAAAACTTATCTACATTGCCTGAGCCTTGCTTTGACGTTAACTTCTGTGGAACTGATTGTACACATCCTCTTCACACTTTGACCTACAACATATCGTATGATTGTTACACAACTAACGTGGTCACTGTTTAGGCGTTCTCTACTTCGTCACTCCAAATGCATCAACCTCAACCGAAGCCTTGGAAAAGGCTTTGGTGTCGTTTCTCTCTGCCCTCGGTAATGGCGAGGACAAGCCAGAGGCGATTTACAAGGTCGCATACCAGCAGGCACAAGCGGTTGCGGCAATTTCCGCGGATGTATCAGACGTACTTCTCAGCTTGCCGCTCGATCTCGCCTTCAGCGACACGGCTCTAGAGCCTGTCAGGGACGCTTGGACGAAAGTCATGGGTCCTGCAGCTGAGGATCCCGACGTCGTCTACATGAAGTTTGATGATCGGGAAGGCGTCGGCGATGAGGAGGATGATGTCTACGAATAGTCTCCATCTTTTCAAATGAATGCACGTAATAATGAACCACGATGACTTTTTGAAATCAAGTACTTTTCTTGTGAATGTGGCTAATGTGTGTGTGTGTGTGTGTGTGTGATGCTTAGCAATTCTGAGTTCCCAAATTCTCCTCCCCCGACTGGTACCTTGATGGCAGAAATTCTTGGGCGTCTTCCCATCTTGAAGATGAAACGTCTTACTTGAATGACCTTTCCGGATGAAACCCCTTCATCCTGACCCGAAAAATCGAATGCATCGCGCGGCAAAGTTGAAAATCAAAGGCGCAGAAAATGAAAAACGAACCTCCCTTCCCGAAACAAACTTTTCAAGCGAGCAAATTTCTTCCCCGATTCTTACGTCCAAGCAGCTTGCAGCATTTGACACCCCATCTCGTTATGTCTTGTAAAAATCGATCGTTGAATACGTCGTTCCGTCGTCACTCCTCGCTGTTGATGTGCGCCGTCATATCAATTCCAATTCGAATGGGACCGAAGGGCTGAAGGTCCGCGACATGCTGCTCGACCGTGATGGCGTCCTTGGTCGCTAGAGACAGCACGTGGTAGAACGCCTGGGCCGCGACGACGTGGTTCTGCTTCGTGGGCTCAATGAGATCATCGAACTCGACCCATCGGCGGTTCTTCTTCACATCACCCTCCTTAATCTGGCCCGTCTTTTTGGCCTCTTCCTCAGTCCATTGCAGGAACTCCCCACTTGCGGTGTCGAGCATCGATCGCATCCATTGAGAATCGTTCTCGCCTTCCTGCTGGGCATCGACCAGAATCCCGGCCGGTCCTTCGGAAGCCAAATCCTGTGACGCTGGCATGTCGAAGGGAAGGGCGTCGAAATCATCCGTCTGCTGCGCATCATGAAGCGGCTCGAACGGTGGCATGCTGCTTCCGCGGATGCTGGCAGACTTCTGACGACTATGCCGCTGAGCGCTGTGGCTGACAACGGAAGAGCCTCTGCCCACCGAGGGGGTTTGGGCCCAAGGCATCATGGAGGATGAATGGTTGTCGCGCATTGGCTGGCCAGCTTCCATGCCCATCTCGGGCATTGAATCATCGCCGACTTCCATCTCGAAGCCAATGTCGTCGTCCATAGAGCGGCCCTGCTGTGGAGTCTCGTCGACCCTGGGCCGAACGTTTCGGTCCATATTTCCATCGCCATCCTCTCCAAATGCATCGCCTGCTCGTCTTCGACGGCTCTTGGGAGAAGTTGTCTGAGCCTCGCGCTCTTCTTCGGTGGGTGGGCCGTAAACGATATCTCCAAGGCCTTTGCCCGCGAACATTTCAGCCAAGGGGAAGTCAGCCCCATAGGTACCCACGCCTCCAATGCCCTTTCCAAAAACAAAGAAGTAGGCGTTTTCTTTCGCTTGGATGGCACTGCCTTTGCGCCTTTTGTTTGCTCTTTCCGCGTTGTCGAGATAGTTTTCCTGCCAGGATTTGAGGGTTGAACGGGAGAGTTGCGTGCCGTTATCCAGCTTTATAATACGGCGGCGCTTCTTGGAAGGAGCAACAGCTTGATCACTCTGAGCTCCCCGCGGAGTTCTAGGGACCAATGACGCATCATCCGAGACTGGAAGAGGATCGCTTCCGAGCAAGGGAACAGCATCTTGAGCGTCGACAGCGGAGACATCGCCAGCAACCTGATGCGCGTCCGCACCCTGATCTTGCCGAATTGGAAAGTCGGCCTCATCCATATCGATTCCTGCAAGCACGGCTAACTCGAGCTCATCTTCGTCCAGTATTACTGCCCCATTTTCGTCAATGGCTAGCTCCACGCCGCCAAAGTTGTCGAAGTCATCCAGAGCTCCAAACGGGTTTGCATTCATGTCGAGTTCCATATCGTCCCGAGATCGAGGAAGGAGCGTCTTCTGTGCAGATCCTTGCGCGAAGGGGGAAGGCAAGCGGAAATCCGGGATATCTGGCGACTGGGAGAAGTCGAGTTGGAAAGGCGAGTTTTCGTGACCGCTGTTGTCAAAGAAGTCAATGGGATCAGGAAACGGACTGAGTTGCGACTGCGACTTGTTTTTGGATCCCGAAGAAGGCTGACTTCCAGCAACGAAACAGGGATTGCCGTCCTCGCCGATGGTGAAGTAGGGCATGACACTTGTAGGAACGAATCCTGGGTCATCGCTCAAGGTAATCTGCTCGCGCCTACCAAATTCAGTCAGCGTGTTGAGTCGAATGGCAGTGTTTGGTCAGTTTACCTCGCTCTTCCGGCTTTGGGGTCAGTCTCGTTGTTGGCAATGAGTCTGAGAAAGGTTCTCATCGTCATCTGCACCTTCTCTGTATCGGTGAGCATGTATTTACACTGCGATGAGTAGACCCGAGAGACGCCATAGAGAAGATTGCTCTGCAAGCGCAGAGAAATGGGCGCTCCCGGCTGAATGATCTTCTCGCAGGCCTTCCGAATATCGACATCTTCGATGGCCCGACGAGACACCTTTTTGTGAGTACCGGCGCCACGAGGACCAACGGTGGCGATGACCCTAGAGATAAAGAGTAAGTATCAAGACTAGTTCAAGCGATCAAGACATTTACTCACCAGATTGTCGCAACGCCGAACTGATGGCTGGTGAGGACTGCTTGGTATTAGAGACTTCTCGGGCCAGGGCTGTAAAAGAGATGACCAACTCTCGTGGCTATAGAACATGATGGCTTCTACACAAGAGCTTAACGCCGTCGTGGCGGGGTTTTGAGGCTTCGAGACAACTAGACTTGGCGGAAAGCAGGAGGTTGGGCGTGGTCTTTGTGATGTTGATGTGGAATTGACTGGGTGAGAGTGGAAGAAAGAAGAAGGAACGACGCAGAGGAAGTACAAGTAGTCGCATCGTCTCGTTTCGACGGAGGAGACAGACCAGGGATGCCTTCCGTATTTGAGCTTCTTTGCCTCGCGCTTACCCAAATACTCCTACCATGTCCAGAGTTCCCCAACGTCAGGAAGACACATTGGCCAGCGGGTACCTACCTCGCGTTGCAATAGATCAAAGTAAGGTAGGTGGGTACAAGGAGCCCAAGCCCAGACTATCTGGCTTACGTCTGCACTGGTGCTTCGGAGTTCGCCTCAAGCATCAGATCCAAGGCGTCAGTCCGGATGCCCCTCTCTGAAGACCCGATATGTAGTCTAGCGGACACATCAAGACTCACTTGTTATGAAGACTTGGCCGGATTTATGCGCTTTATAGTTAGATAATGATTTCTCAAGATTCGTTAATCTAATTATTCACACTCAGACTGTTGATGCCCTGATCTTGGTCGGCCGTCGTCATTGTTGATACTGCTTCCTCAGGCATGGGTACCTTGGTCTCAGAAACTTGATCTGGCCTGAAGTTATTGCGACATTTTCAAGCATCATATGGTATAGCTTACTGGTGCTTTTGGCACCTTCAAGAAGACATGGCATCGGTACCTAGCTACCGTAGATTAAAGTGTTGGTGTGGGATTTCTACTTGAACGGAGTCCACTACCGTGAAATGCGTGAAGATGGGAGGATTCGGTGCCTTGGAGACCACCAGAAATCTTCCTCTCCCCGAGTCCTGAACCCAGAGATCAGGCTATATATTTACAGCATTGCAACGCACGAGATGGCGCCACGTCGTGAAAAGATCCGCACTCATGTGCAACGAGGACAGCCAAGGAAAAAAGCAGAGCTTCATTTATTTAGTAATATTGCCCCTATATCGGATTACCAAGCTTCGACTCAAGTTTGGCCTTGTTCTTCAATTGAGACGTGTTTCAAACTTTCTCAAGAAGATAAAACTATCTGAAAATGTAGTACTTTTCTATAAAACGCTTTATCACCTAAGTACTCCGCGAGATCGCTAGTATTAATTCATCCTTTGATTGAAGCTGCAATTGAACTCCGGATGACATAAGCATTTGGCGCTTGCTTGACAGATCCGCCAGACGAGCACAGATCCTGAGACCCCTGCAAGGTCCGACCGGGCCCACCTCACCTCAAGTAACCCCCGGAGGTCGGCAAGCTGATATTCCGCAGGGTCGTTGCTGGGTCAGGCCTGGATGCCTTTTCGCATTGGAAAATCATCACCACGGACCGAGTAGAGTCGACCATAGCAAGGCACTTTCTTTGTCCCCCAGAGCCAAAGACATAACAGCACCTCGGCGACCACCACACACTCCTTTTTCCAGCCTGCTCTACCTCCCTGCATCTGAGTTAGAGTACGATTGTTTTGTGTTTGCCTGCTTCGAAGCACGTCGTAGCTACCCATACCGCCGCCTCTGCGACAGCTACCCCGGACTATATTACTCGACGCGGCAGCATCATCCTAATCCCAACAAAACGATGGCGCCCCTTATCCTCCACAATGTTCCTGACGAGGAGCTTTACATCGGCGATGACGGTATCAAACGCCCTTACGCCATGGTTTTTCCGCAGTACGTCTCACGCCCAATGGCGCGCAAATGCAAGCTCAATGCCACGCGCAATGACATGCCGCTAACACAGACTTTCCTACTCTTAGACAAGAAGGCCTTCCTGGGGCCCGTAACCGCCGCGGTGTAGCAGAGACAGGTTCCTTTGGCAAATCCACACGCCGCTCGCGGTCACGAACAGGAACCCCAGCTGGCCGTCGCGAAAATCCAACAGTAGTAGCCGCCGACAAGATCTTTGGCGACTGGATCTCCTCCCAAGCTATAACATCCAACTCCAACCTCGCTCCCTCGTCGGCAACAGGAAGCGGCGCAACGAATGCCTCCGCCTCCGGTGCCAACGCCGCACCTCAGCGCAAGACCTCTGGCCTCTCGCAGCCGCCCCTCCTCGCGGCCGACGACGCGCCCGCTGCTGCCGCCGAACCCCGCGTCAGCCGCCACGTTCCCACCGAAGTCGTCCTCCGCGGCTACCGCTCCCCGTCGCAACAGTACGCCGCAATCTCCCACTACGAGCTGCTCGCCGGCCTCATCTGCGAAGACTACCCCCGCGAACCGCCCCTCGAGCAGCGCCGCTACAAGTCGGAGCTCCGCGACCCGGCCTTCACCCGTCGAAGGGCTCTCACACCCGAAGAGCGCGCAAAGGTCAACCGCGCCGAGGGCGGCCAGCACTGGATCAAGGTCACCTTCGAATCCGCCGACGCCGCCGATGCCGCCGTCTATGCTAGCCCCCAGCGCGTACAGGGCTACCTCGTCTACGCGGAACCCTACCACGGCCACCCGCCCGCCCGCGACGAACCCATCCCGGACGTCGACTCCCTCGTCCCCAGCCACGATGACCTAGGTCGCTCACAGTCCGTTCCTGGAGGCAGCTTCGGCACCCACCGGACGCCGCGCAGCAAACACCGCACCGCATCGTCCAACAAGCCCAGCGGGGGCAACCCCTTTGCCCTCCCCAACGCCCACTCCACGAGCGACCTCTCCCCGCCCACGTCCCTCACCTCCTCCAACACAATCGAGACGGCCACAATCTCCAACGCGACAAACTCGTCCGCAACAGTGACCGCCGACCCCTTCTCACAGCAAGGGTTCTCATCAGCGCTGACCACCGCCCCAACCACCGAAGACAGCCTCTTCTGCCGACGTATCCCCACCGCGCGCAAGGCTAGACTCCTCCCCGCCGAGCAGGCCCTGCTACCGCAGCAGAGCTACACCCAGAGGCTCGTCAACATGGTGCCCTTTTTGAAATGGTTCAGCGGCTCCATGATTGGCAACGAGGTGCCGCGCACCGATAACGGTGACTTTGACTGGAACCGCGCCAGCCTATACTGGAAGGTCATTTGCTGGCTCGATGCGACGTTTGGGCTCTTTGGCGGCGAGATTATGAGTGCCGACAAGGACGATTAGGGGGCAGAACAACGAAACGTTAGGGGTGGACTGGAGACGAGTAAGAATTTTCAATACAGGGGACTTGTAGATTTAACTTGACGGGTGAGAAGGACGGCGTTCGGAAAGGAGGGCAAACGGGCGGGTTTTGAAAAAGTTTCATGTTCTATACGAATACCACGCGCATAACTACTTGTTTATAGTTGATAGATTGGGCGAGCAGAAGCAGGTTCGGTCAGAGACCAAATACCGAAATAGAGAAAGATTCAAAGAAGCTTAGGCGAAAAGATACATAACAGTTTTGAGACTAAGAATCGTGAGGTGCGAAATTATGTGCAAAAAGAGTTGGTTAACCAAAATATGTATAACAGACTATGTATCTATGCCAAGCGCCAAAAGGGGATGACGAGAGAGAGAGGATCGTACCGTCCCCTCAATCCACCAGGTAAGTAGAAGATAAAACAACGCCGCCTCTAAATGGGTATAACAAGAATGAATCATGAGTTTTTCCTGCCACCGTTAAAACCCCCTAGCAGAGCAACCACCGAACCTCGGACTGAAAGTAAAACATCTAGGCGTCGTCTTCATTTACACTCCACCGCCGCCCCGGCCGCCCTCTCTCTTCCGAACCGCTTGCGAGTACCGCCTCGTCTTGCTCGGTTGTGTCTTCCACGACGGCAGCTTCTCCCAGCAATGTCGCAGTGTCGCCTTGTTCTTCTTCTCCTCTTTCGGTAGGAGTCTTGGAATCAACCGGCTCGTCGCCCCAATTGGGCCTCTCCTCAAGAGTCTCTCCCTCGTCTTCCTCCATGAGCACATCGTGCTGCCTCTGTTCCACCTCATCCTCTGCAACCTTGTCTTCCTCGCCCCTCGACTCCTCACTCAGCCCGACCCCCAAACTATCAAACGTAACGTCGGTAGCGTGCCGCCGGATAGGCTGGGGCGAAAACGGCCTCACGCCTCTGGGCCGGTTGAAATTCGTCTCGGAAAAGATACTATCCGTATCGTTATCGTCTCCACCGAAGCCAGGCGACGGCCCTCCCGCGGCAGCCGCAAGACTCTGGTACCGCTCCGGATCGCTCAGCAGACTATCGCCCCTCACGTGGCCCCCTCGTCTCGTCATATCCGACGCCGCGTCCGCGAGGATACTCTTGGGCGGAAGAATGCTAAACAGCTTCGCCGTCTCAGCCGACCCGCCGCCACCGCCTACACCACCGCCAATAACGCTCCCCAGGCCAGAGTGATCACCGACCTCGTCGCTGGCAAACAGATCCGCGCCCTTTTCCAATAACTCGTCCAGCCCGCCGCCACTCCACCCCTTGCGCGCAAGCGACTCAAAGATGTCGACCTCGGCGCGCACAAGACTACACGACGACTCGAGGATCCGGCCGCTGGTATCCTGGCTCTCCCTGAGCAGCGTCCGCGCGTGCTCCCCGTGCAACGACGTCAACCCATCGAGCCTCGTCGTCAAGTCCACGAGGTGCGCCCTGAACTTGCCCACGTCCCGCCTGCGCTGCTTATGCAGCTTCAGCCCTTCCTTTTCCAGCTTCCTGATCTCGGCGTTGCGGGCCTTCACCTCGCGCACGTAGGCCTCCTCTTCGTCGTCGACGCGCTGTCGCCATTGGTCTAGCTCGTGAAGTAAGGGGACCTCAAAGTCGCGGTACACGGTCTCGGAGAGGATCTGCTGGTGGTTTGCGACGAGGTGGTGGACGCCCGAGGCGGAGAGGAGCAGGTCGGCGGTGCAGGAGCCCTTTGGTCCACCGGCGGTGAAGCTCGCTGATAACAGGCCTCCGCCACCGCCGCCTCCTCCGCCTCCCGAAAGACCGTTTATGCCGCCTGATAGAGACTCGGCGCGGGCTTCTTTTAGTCTTGCGCAGGACTCGAGTGCGGAGCCGAAGGCGGATGCGGCGGTCGAGAGGGAGGCGAGGGCGATGCGGTAGGCCTTTGCGGACTGGATGAGATCGGTGTAGGCCGTCTGGGAGGACTCGAGGTCGGACTTTGTGAGGACGGCGTGGACGGGCTGCGGTGGTGGCGGGAGGGGCAGGTGGTAGGAGGAGAGGGGGTTCGCGGTCGAGGCGAGGGAGTAGACTGGCGACGCGGGGACGGGCGGGAGTTGTGAGGGCGTTGGGGTTATGGGGCGGGAGTCGCCTGGTGCGCCTTGTGATGCCATCGTCGGGCTTGGAGCTTTTTATCGTAAGTTTGGTGATGGCCTTTGTCTCTCTTTCGCCGTCTGGGCGCGCCTGCTTTTCTTCTTTGTCCTGTTGACGATAGCAACGGCTGCGGGGAGTATGGTATCTTTGGGGAGGGGAGGAAGATCTCGGGGCTTCGGGGTTGCGATGTGCCGGGGGGTGTGTGTGTGTGTGTGTGCGACGAGACGTCGAGTTATGGGCTTTGTTTTGTTTATCGTGCTCTGTACAACGCCGGTCCGGACGGTGACATGTTCGGGGGTTCGGCGAAGGCCCAATAATAGATGAAAAAAAATGATTGAGAGCTGGCGATGAGAAGTGCTCCCGCAGGATCGATGAAGATAATAAAAAAGGGAAAGAAAAGGAAAAGTTGTGGTTGGAGATCTTTTTTGGAGAAATGCAAGACGAACGCCGCCGCTGGCTGCCCGGGTTGCTGCTGGATGCACCTCAGATGCAAGCTGCTGCAGCTTCCCAGGACGGACAGCACAAGGTCACCACCCGTTGGGATTTGGGAGGGTTCCGGCTGGCTCAGACTTGGGGCATCTGGCGCATCTAGCGCACCTGGGGCCTCCTGGGCTGGCGTCTTTTTGGCCATCCATGGGGCCCATGGCGCTGGGAGACCTTGTGATTCGGGGGGGACGATGGCACATGGGTGGGGGGAGGAGGGGGACCCGCAGGTGACCCTGGAAGCTGCCCTGCTTTGCGGCAGGCGGGAGTGGAAGCCCAAGGCTAAAGACCAGTTGCTGCGGCACCATACACCGCAGTGAAGAGTAGAGGTGAGATAAGACGACGACCCTTGGACGAGACAACGCTAGCGCCATCCAACGGCGGATGAACGAGCTTGCCACAACTTGGTTAGCTTAGTCTGACATGGTTAGGTAAGCTGTGTCTACGTTTGCGTGTGCTTGCGGGTGTGGGTATACGTGAGGCAAGGAGACCCTCTCACTGAGTAGCTTAATGAGAGACATTGTCCATGAATGTCACTGAGCGTGATCCCACTCTCATCTCTCACCAATGCGTCTACGGGGCCATTTGAAACGGAAATGATTCCAAAGTATTCATCAAAGTGAAGGCAACTCATATCATATATTCGACTTCTTTCGCTCAGGCTTAATGCCCCAATACAATCTCATCGAGCTACTGGCGTAGTGATTGCAGGCTCTTGTTATTGTAGATGATGTATCATGTTGTTTACCATCATCAAGATTGAGTCTATCGAATTTCTTCTCGGTCGAAGAAGACCGTTCCCGCTGGTTCCTGGGCTCTATCTACTAACCCGTTGCCTCATACTCTTCCCTCATACATGAACACTCCTTCCCGCCAATCTTTGAGAAACTCCTGCCAACAGCACACTATTTCTGGGTAGGCGGGAGTCTCTCCAACAAGAAGGCCTCGACGTCGTCCAACTCCTCAGGGCAAGCAGCGTGGCCCATACCCCTGTATGTGATGTCAGTATTCCTCTCTAAATGGAATCCAGCCCTAGTTCTCCAACGAGGATGAACAACAAAGTGAGAGAAGGACAAGAAATACTCACGGGTAAAGCGTTCTCGAAACCTTGTACCCAAGCCCCTTCAAAGCATCCATACTCAGCGCCCCCAGCTCAGGCCTTACAAGCGGATCCGCATCCCCGTGGCCCAACCACACAGGCGTCTCCTGGTTCGCCTTCTCCGCGGGCACAAGCCCAGCAAACTTGTTGCTCATCAGCAGCCAGCACGACAAGCCCACGATACCGCCGATCCGGTGCTTGCCCGTTAATCCGGAAAAGATGGCCATGGCGCCGCCCTGGCTGAAGCCGCCGAGGACGACGCGCTCGGCGGGGATGCCTGCGTCCACCTCGGCCTGGACGAGCTGCTGGAAGTACTCTGACGAGGCGAGGATCCCCCGCTCGTCTTCGGATTCGCGGAGGGCCTCGACTGTGCCGTCGAGGACTTTCTGTGGGGTGGGGGTAGTGGTTAGCTTGGGTGATGATGCTGATGATGATGATGCTTGTGCCTGTTGTTGGCGGTGGCGGTCGAAGATTGTAGCGCGACTTACAATGTCGAACCAACCCGGCATGCGCATGCCCCAGTTCTGTACATAATGTTAGTATTCATTCATGAACGAACACCTCCAGAAACGATTTCTTAGGAAAGAATACAAGTCCTGAAGCTGCGGCAGTAAGTGAACTTACACAGGTGATGGGGATCTGAGGCGCATGAGGCAGCACAAACTTAACCTCATCAAGCCTCTGCCTCCGCCGCCAGTTCTCAACGGCGCTCGCCCACCCGTGGCCCGTGTCGCCGAGGCCGTGGGCGAAAATGACGGTGGCCGTGTGCTTTCCCGCGGCCGGGAACACGAGCGGGGCCGTCCGGGCGACGGAGGACGACATGGCTTCGTAGGTGTTGGGGGGTGAGATGTCGATGCCTGCGAGAGGGGGGTGGTGTTGTTGATGCTGAGGTGGCAGGGGGTGGAGCTGGTCTGCCTCAGAAAGCGGATCCTTTTGCTGTAGGTCCTCGAGGCGTTGTTGTTGTCGGTCCTGTTGGGGCGTCGCGGCGGTGAAGGGCGCGAGGAGGGTGAGGAGGATGGTTGTTGCGGTTACTCGCGAGACGAGCATTTGCGGGTTGTGTCAAGCAAGGGAAGAGACAACGCGGCGAAAGCTCGGGCGGCGGGCCGAATGAGATGTGGGTTTTTCTCACACGTTTCTCCGATGGCGTCAAAGCATGCGGGGCGCTGATCCGGGCTCTGTCAGGTCTTATCCGTAGAACTGGCCGTCTCCCACCGTAGCCTGTCGTCAGGGAGGCTGTGGGCGTAATTGATTATTGACCTTTAACTACTCCGTCACCCAGCCCAGTCTGACCTGATCCGTCGACCTAGACGGGCGCCTTGTGGTTGTAGTGATGGGAATGGGATTGAGGGGTATATAAAGGCTCATACCAGTGTGTATTCTGTATGTTCCTGGAATTTCCTGCTTACGATGTTGTGGTGTAAAGTCGTATGCACAGTAGCAGCAAACAGCCTTGGCCTCACCGGCGAACAGGGGGAGCTCGAAGCTCATCTGGAGCTTAGACTGCTCTAGAACTCGAGCTTCACACGGCGTCAGGCCATTGGACCCGTATATGGTCCCTGCTTAAGTATTTTCAAAGTTCTACCCATAATCCGTGAGTCGTCCCTCTCCTACGCCCACCGGATAGGCTCAATTAATGCTCCCAGGTGCATGTCAGTTCGTGGTCCTCAGAGCTGAGGAGCTTGGCCAAGCACTCCGATGCGGGGTGGACAAAGTGTATACCTATGGAAGCAAGTAGACGTTGTCTTGTTCTAATTGACGCTTCAGGGCAATACCTCCTATGGTTATTGTTCTATATTCACTACTTTTGATCTTAGGCATATTCCTTAGAGAATACGCTATAGAATAATAGAATAGTAAGGTGGATGTAATGATCGAGCGTTGACCAGCATCCTACCTTATTTCGTCACTCACCTACGGCCCTCCCACCCCGCCCGCCCGCTAAGACAACAGTGGACCCGGCCGCGCGCGACGAAAACAACCACCCGCCATCCGGCCCCTCCGACCCCCCGTGCCGCATCCCTCATCCGGTCCGTCGGATAGCGCCTACACAACCTCCGGGAATCAAATATACTTCAACTCCCGTCATACTCCAAGCCGTTCCTCAACCTCACATCACGGGCGTACCGATAACCCCAAACAACCGTGCCGCAAGATGCCTCGTCTAAACCCCCTCTTCCTCTTCTCCCTCACAGTCGCCTTGACAGCCTACATGCTCTCACCAACCCTCCGCGCCTTCCTCACGTCAGTGACGACGAATCTCATAAACTCGCCCTCCTCTCAAGCTCCAGACTCGTCAAAAATGAAGAAGCCTCGAATGCCAGTCTACTTCTTCTCCCACGGCGGCGTAAGCAAAACCCTCCCTCCCCTATCTCACTCTCATCGATTCCGCACCTCACCATAAAACCCTCCCCCATCATACTAACATCACAAAGCCAGACGTGATGTACAACAAAGCCCACCCAGTCTACCCAACCCTCCAACACATAGGGCGCGAAATAACCTCCCTCAACCCCACCGCAATCCTAGTCTTTTCAGCCCACTGGCAATCCCCCTCCCCCTCCACAATCTCAATCAACGCCGCACCCGGCCCCGCGCCCCTAATATACGACTTCTCAGGCTTCCCCTTACACTATTACTCAGCAACCTACCCAAACACCGGCAGCCCCCCACTCGCATCCCGCGTCTGCTCCCTCCTCTCCGTCTCACACGGCAGCAACATCACCTGCGTACCCACCACAGACCGAGGCCTAGATCACGGCGTATGGGCAGGTTTCCACGTAGCATTCAACCCCTCCGCAAACCCCCTCAATGTACCCTTAGTCCAGGCATCCCTCTTCCGCTCAGAGGACCCAGATGCCCACTATCGCCTCGGCGCCGCCCTCTCCGCCCTTCGTGACGAAGGCGTCGTCATCATCGGCGCGGGAATGTCCGTCCATAACCTCTACCACATGAGCAGCGACCCGCGGCCCATGCCATATGCCGTCAGCTTCGACGACGCGCTCCAGGAGGCTGTCGAGGTCGCCAACATCGGCGACAGGCAGGATAAGATGGCCCAAGTTTGCAGACGACCTGATGCCAAGCAGGCTCATCCGTACATGGATCACCTCATGCCCATTCACGTGGCCGCCGGTGCTGCGGGAGACGACCGCGGGAAGCAGCTGTGGACCATGAAGGAAGGCAGTTTCGCATGGGCTCAGTACCGTTTCGGGGACGTCCCGAAACTTGTGATATGATCACGTCAAAAAAAAGCGCCCTTGTAAGAAAACCATGTGTTAACATTGAACTTTGTAACAACGCATTTATACCCATACGATTCCCAAACGTCTCCGCATCATCTCATTTTGAATGGTTCGGGCGTACAAAACTAAGTATGCGTGCGTCATCTACTAGGGAATCGAGGCCTTTCGAAGGATCAAGTCTACCTCATTTTGTTATCATCCGACTTGCCCATGAGTCATTATTAACCATCATAATTTTCTGTTCACAGCCTTGTATGAAGGGTTCTGCTGAATCAGACGCGCGGTACGAAAAATTTAGTGTCTCTTTTCACAAGAATGCCCCGTGAACTGATGGCCGCCGCCTGCTGCTTAGAAAGTTCTCCACCATGTGATGGCTGCCAGCTGCTTCGGCCTTCCAGTCGTCAAGGCTTGTGGTATCGGACCTCTCGTCGTCGCGTGAGTCGCTGTCCAGTAATCGACGAACTGATCCTCGCCTCTCCCTGGGAGACCCGCGATTAAATTGTTGGCTGGCTAACATGGGGCCGGAATGTTTCTCGACGGCCGTTGTAAGCCCCGGACTGGAAGCAGACGATTGGAACCCTTTCTGTAACCCAGTTCGTCTGACTAATTTGACTGGAGATCGTGTCCTGGATGGGAGAGGGGCCACCAGATCTTGGGCCTTTGATAAGACGTCCAAGCTGCGCACCTTGGAAGCCTTCCTGTCGACCGACATGACAGGTAAGTTGCTATGAGAAAGACGCGGTTGCATGAGCGGCATCGAAGGAGTCGCTCTCAAAGAGCTTCTGGGTGGAATTGGTGGAGGATTGTAGATACCACGAAGACGTCTAGTCACGCGTCCGTCCGTCTTAGGGATCGTGTTCTCGTCTCTAAAAGGCGTTGAGAACTTTGAATCGTCTATGCCAAGCTCTATGCGACTGGCGGACGATACTTGACGCGGATTGTGGCTCGTCACTCTAAGTGGCGTTTGGAATTTCGTCTTTCCTAGGCCCGTCGCCACGTATAATGCCGGAGACTCAGAGTCTTCAATTTCGGCGCGCTCACGCACATGACCCAAGCTTTTGGGCATACTTGGCTTGGCGTAACGAACTTCCGTCAAGTGTTGGGTTAGTCCGGTATTGGTTAACTTGGCGTCGGTATTCGCCGCATTTGCAGAGAGCCAAGTCTTCCACTCTACAGAACTTGCGTTTGAGACTGTTCGACCCTGCGGCATTGTCGGTGTATAAGTATGTGGGCCGCCTGGTAAGTATCGTCTTTGATATACATCCGCCAGAGGAGTAGTGTCAGAGCTGTTCTCCTTCGCAACAGCCTCGGAGTTGTCGGACGTAGAGGGTGTCTGCTGATGATCAGGATCGGCTGCTTTATGGTTGGGGTGTCGAGGTGGCACTATTGGTTCTGTTTGTTCTCCCAAGCCCTTTGGTATTGTACGTGGAGAGAGGATGTCGTCAGAGTAAATACTTTCAGAGTACGCAAGTCGGGGGTCTTCCTTAGATAGACTCGGGCGACGCCTTGTGGGGATAATGTCCAGGTTCAGAATCGAAACCGATGGGGAAAATAACTGAGCTGCAGCTGGAGCTTCCGACTCTGATTTGACCTTTTCTTGTAGGACCTTGCGGTACGGACTTGTTGTGCGGAAAAGATGGCAAGTCGGGCTGCCAAAGAATGCAGAACTGCGAGTGGACAAGGCTCTTGGGGGACTCGCGGCGTTGTCGCCGTGCAATTTGTACGGCTTTGGGGGCGAGTGTTCCTGTCTATCCTCGGCCGTAGGTCTTTGACGAGGCTTGTAAGATTCAATGGTGGTCTCAGAAGCCGAGTGCTGGCGATGGTGCATTGTACCATCAGATGAGGATGTTGCTTCGTCACGACCCGACTGAGGGGCCTCGGTTTCGATCACTGTTTGCAATGTTTGTTCCCACAGACTGTCACGAAAAACGTCGTCCTCTTGCAAGACACATCTTATGGTTTGAGGGTCTTGATGGCGAGCTTCGCCAAGCTCCTGGCCGCCGATGGAGTTTGACAAATCTATTGTGCCGTATCCCTTAAGGCCGGTACTCCCAACGCTGCTATGCCGTAGCTGCTCTTCTCGTTGACCCTTTTGCTTACATTCGTTCAATCGCTTCATGAGGGCGGAGTAGACTCTTGCGCTATCAACGGAGGGACCAGAGCGGGCCAGTCCATCCTGGGGCGTAGATTGTGTTTCGGTCTCAAATGGGTTTCGATCCGCCAGACTCGGTCGCTGGAAAGAAGACGAGGACTTGTGTGGTCCAAGTTCTTTGATGATAGACAGTCGCTGCCGTTCCCGCTCCCCACCCCAAGTACTTTGACTGTTGAGTGTATGGGTACCTGAGCTCGTCCAACTGGTAACGCGAGACTTCTCATCCGATGCCTTTCGTTCACTCCCAATGCTCTCTATGCTTCCTTGACGCGAGCGAAGTTTTTGTTTTGAGGTGGCATCGTGAAGAGACGGAACTCGCGAAAGTACTTGCGAAATTGAACACTCGTCCAGCAACACGGGATCCGTAATGTCCATGTAAGCATCATCCTGTTCGTTCTCGTCGCCGATAAAACCATGGACCGCATTCGAAGCCTCTAGCTGAGATTTTCTTGCTGTCACAACCAAATCATCCTTCTTGTTTCGTCGGAACATTTCTTTCAGCTTGGTTTTGAGACTGCTTGAAACTTTTCGAGCCTTCTTTCGAAGAGAGGCGTCCTTGTTGACAGCCAAGCTATCTTCTACACCAACAGATCGAACATCGGCGCTGAAGTCTCTCATGGATCGGCGTAAACTCAAAGACGCCTGGCCCTTCTTCGCTTTCATGAAAATCGTCGAGGGTCGCGGATTCAAATGCCGTTGCTCTTCAATGTCTTTGCGGAAACTGTCTTCAGCTTCTTGGACTGCCAAATCGATCTGTTGGCGGCTGCCAATTCTGTCAGACTCCAGAGCACTCCGAATCTTGAGAAAGCTCATTGACTTCGGGTTTCTTAGCCCAAGCGTCTTCTTTGGCGGTGGTTTGCTGTCCTTAATATCTTGCATTGACTGTCGTCGCAACGCAGGCTGCACATTCTCCTGCTCCGGAGATTCGCTGAGATATGTCTTACTTGGTCGGCGCAGACCTGTCGGATTTAGAGGGGAAAACATCGAGCGCGACTTGCGAAGTCTTCTGTAAGATGCTGGAGCAGGTGCACACTCATCTGGAGACACGAATGATTCGCTCGGGGGTAAGGAATTGATGTAGTTGGTCGTATAAGTGCTCACAAATGGCCGCTCGACAGGGTGAGAGATTCGACTAGCAGGCTGGTTGACAACATCTGTGAGGACACCCCGGTGCCGAATAGTCCCCAAATCAGAAGAGTCATCGTTGATTTGGCTTTGCAGGCGCTTAGTTCGGGACTCTTGCTTCACGAATCGAACACTCTGCTGCCGTCGTGGACCCCCGTAGTTGTGGCCGAGCTGATTGAATTCGTTTCGAGGCGGACTTGAGGGATTCTCTGGCCATGTCTCCATGTTGACAGACCGCTGGCACTGTCTCGAAGTCTCAAGTCCCATGCCCATGTCGATATTGGGATTCGCACGGGAGAAAGATAACGTGGCGGCGATATGTGCGTCCCTTTCGGCAGTGGCTGGGTCAATATGCTCTAGTCGTTGAACAGCCGAGCGAACGGAAGCCGTAGACTTGCTTCGAGTCAGAGTCGACCTCGACTTGGCACTGTTATGTCGCCGCATAGGGTGGGCTTGAGTATATTAGGAGGATGGTCTAGGCGGAAGAGGCGCCAAATCTCGCGGCGGCTTAGGTATAAAGGGAAGTAGAGAGATTCAAGTGAAACTGCTATTTGTCGGTCGAAGTTTGGGACTTGGCCTGGGGCTAACCAAAAGCGAGCTGGGAGACTATGGAGAAGTATCGTCGAGAGTGTCAAATGTTGAGCCGTGAAAGTCTGATGGAGGATGTGGAAGAGTGATGTCGTCCCTTGAGCAGGGCCATGAACAGCAGCCAGCATTCACACCGACGACGAGCTCCATGACTGCTCCTTCTCCGGTGCTGAGTGAACTTTGAAAAGAAAAGAGATGGGAGGGCACGTCATGTCCAGGCGAAGGAAGGAGAGGAGCTGACTGATCCCTTCCCTTGGCCTTGGGAAGGCAGGTATGAGGTGGCACCTGGGCAAGAGCCTGCCGTTGTGTCATTCCTCCCGTGGAAAGACCGGATAACATTCCAATCTCCCCTCCTTCCCTTCTTTTCGCCCTCGCACAGCGAATGCAAGGTGCAGACAAATCGGGCAAGCCAAGATTGGCTGGGTATCCAGAACTGGGTTGTTCAAATGCAATGTCTCAACGCCAGATTGACTCAGATGACGGAAACTAGCCATGTGTTCCAATCCCCTATGCACCCTGTGTATCTATGTGCGCTCACATCAGTCCTATTTTAGATTGACAACCTCAACTTCAACCGCATGGCGGGCTTACTCATGAACGTTGTTAAACTTTGGGACAACTCAGACGTGCCCAACTTTGTGAGAGCACGGCCTATGAGACCATAGCAACAGTCGCTTGGCAAATATCGACAGTCAAGCTGACCTAAACTGAAATCGGTTGCATTTAAGAAAACTTATTGGTTGTGCTATGAGATCTGTATGTAGCTATGAAAGCGATGCATCCATCCTATCCCATCCCGCAATAACCCTATGCGTACACTCTCATGGACCCAAAGAAAAAGGAAATAAAGAACCAGTCTAGCGCTCTATTACAACGCTTACAAAGAGGTCTCCCTAAGGAACTCCTTAAGCTCTTCGTCGACCAAATTGTGGATCTTCTTGGCGAACTTCTCGGCCTTGGTGCCGACGGTCTTGGCACCCTTGACAACCTTGCCAGAGAGAACCTCGAAATCCTCCTCAATGGCCTTCTCGAGGTCATCGATGGTGGTCTCCTTGGACTCCTGCTTGACAGTGTAGCCGCCGGCCTTGACGATGGCAGTGTAGTTGTTGCAGCCACCGCCGTTCCAGGCGAGGACGTTGGGGGTGTCGCGGGGAATGTCGCTGAGGGCACCGACGGTACCGACGGCAATAAGAGCCTCCTTGAGCTTCTTGGGGGTGATGGGAGCAACAGAGTACTCGGAGTCAGAAGCGGGCTGGAGGGAAAGGTAGTAGGCCAGGAGACCGCAGATGTGGGGGGAGGCCATGGAGGTACCAGAGATGGTGTTGACGGCGTACTTGCTGCCAATCCAGGTGGACTTGATGTTGGTGCCGGGGGCGAAGATGTCAGTGCACTTTCCGTAGTTGGAGAAGTAAGAGCGGCGGTCACCGAGCTCAGTGGCACCGACAGTGACGGCCTTCTCAGCAGCAGCGGGAGAGTAGTTGCAGGCATCGGCGTTGTCGTTGCCGGCGGCGACGGCGAAGTGGATACCAGCATCGACGGCGGCGTTCACAACGGCATCGAGAGCCTGGGTCTTGCCACCACCAAGAGACATGTTGGCGACGGAGCCCTTGAAACCCTTGCGCTTGCCATCCTTGGTAGCCTGAACCTGCTCAGTGTGGGAGGTGGCAGCCCACTCAACACCCTTGACGACGTCGGACATGGTGCCGGAGCCGTTGGAGCGGAGGACCTTGACGGCGTAAACATTGGCCTTCTTGGCGACACCGTACTTCTTGCCGGCGATGGTGCCGGAGCAGTGAGTGCCGTGACCGTTGCCATCGGCGTCCTGGTCACCAGAGGGAATGGTCTTTCCCCACTTGGCGCGGCCCTCGAAGTCGACGTGGTCAACGTTGGTACCGGTGTCAATCACGTAGGCGTCAACACCTTCGCCGGCATCCTCGGCATAGAGGTACTTGTCATATGTGCCGAAACCAAGAGACTTGCGGTGGGAGACACGAGCCAGACCCCAGGGGGCCAGCTTCTCGAGCTCGCCGTCACACTTGTCCTCAACCTGGGACTTGACGGGAACCTGAGTGTGGACAACGGAGTCGACCTCGATGAACTCGACCTGTGAATAAGCATGTTAGCACTTGTTTCGAGAATGCTGTTGGGTAGCCGAGAGCGGCCGAGCCGAGCTTGGGAGCCCGAGCCCGTCAAGGTCCGACAGCCAAGACCGCCTCGGCCGTGAACTGCAATGATTGTGGGTCCACGGGTTTGGGGTGCGTCTTGGATCTCGGGAGGAGGGTATCAGGGTCGAACTTACGTCAGGGTGCCTCCGGACCTTCTCGATGGTAGCATCGTCGAAGTGACCGGCGTAGCCCAAGAAGTCCTTGCCAATCTTGTATGTGTGCTTCAAGCCGTGGAAGACATCATCAACCATGGGCTCTTGGCCGCGCTTGCGCAGCTCGAGACGCTCATCCTGAGCGGAGGAGTGAATGTTCTGGACCCAGTTGTGGTGGTCCGAGGCGCCGGAGTCCGAGACGTGCTTCTTGAACTTGACGATGTACGAGTTCGGGACAGCCTCGGCATTGGTGGAAGAAAGAAGGGGCGCAGCGCCGTCGTGAACAGTCTCAATGGAGAGAGAGGGGGAAGCGCTGGCAACAGCGGCCAGGCCGGCCACAGCACCGATGAAGCCTCTCATGATGGGCGGTGTTGTGGTGGTGAGTAGAGTCTACCGGAGACGCTGGTTGTGATGACAGAGAAGGAAACTGAAGCTGCGAAGGACGCCAAGGACAGACGGATACTCGATGGAATTGGGAGGATGGATGGTCGATGAAGGAGGGGGAGGGATGGAGGAGAGATGGAGCAGAGAGATAGTCGATGGAGCTGTTGGAGAGCGGGAGCGGGTAGATATAAAGGGAAGGCAGCGACAGCGGTTGCGTGCGCACAGCTGGAGGTGAGGTATCGGCCTTAGGATGGTTGCGCCGCCCCAGTTGCTGCTATTGTGTGACGCAGCCAACCAAGATAAGAGCTGGAGGGTGGCTGACGGAGCCGAAACCGGCTTAGCGCAATGGCGAGAGAACCAATGGAATGACTCGATAGGGTTTCCTCGGCAATGCGATAAGGGAGGTACTGGGACAGTCTGGGAGGGTCACGTTTGGGGTTTCCCTGGGACCAGTCCCCGCCTACAGGCAACAGGTACGTACCCAGTACCTTACCACTCTAACCCGAGCAGCTTGTCACTTGTTCGATACGGAAGGCTGCTTCAGAAGAGGACCTGACGGCACGACGGGGGATGGGATTGTGAGATGGGCGATAGCAAGTGACTTCCGTGGGTACTTCTTCTTCTCCTCTTTCTTTCCAGCAGCACGCTGCATCCGCCAGGAACACAACCAATCCGGCCTCCGTCTGTTGGAGAAGCTTCACCCAGGCTTCCCGCCGTCGACAATGTGTCTGCCATGCCATGCCATGCCTTGCCATGGTGTTTTTCTATCGGCTTCCAACGTTCACGCTCATCTGAAGCTTTAGACAGCCTTTCTCCCATGTCTCTGCAACATCGTCGGATTCTTGTGGTTGCGACCGACAAGGAAACACGGATGACCGACCATTGCACCTTGAGAGCCAGAGTCAGAGCTCTGAGGGGGCGACGTCATACCCTTCCTACCCCCGAGGCTATCTGCCCAAGTGCTAACAGCCAAGGCCGATACGGAGGCAATCAGAGACAGCAGAGCATGGGCGGGCAATGTACTCCGTGCTTCGCCCTACCTTATCCAACAGCCTCGGAGTCTCGCTCTTCCTGACGAAGACCCATGGCTCATGAATGATAACCCATGGCCATGAGGGTGCTTTTTTCATTTCTAAGGAACCTTCGTACGGATACGGTTGACAGCTTCCAATCGACCATCCCAAGCATCCCCAAAGCAACGGACGATCAAGCCAGCACAGCGCCAATGCAATGCCATACGTGCCAGGCACCAAAGGAGCAGTACAGTGGCACAGCCTACCAATCAGTCGCAGCTTGGGGCGCCAGCTCCATGGTCATGAGCAAGTCGAGAAGATGTACCACGCTATCAGCATTCCTCAGACATTCTTCACCCACTTCTACTAGTCCACAATCAAGCTCCCCCTCCCGACCTTCCAGAGCACACCCACACAGTCCGCATATCCCGCATAACGCTGCATGCGATAACGCGTAATGGACGATTCACGGAGCGGAGGGCGAGGCAGATCTATCCGGAGGACCCTGGAGCTTAACAAGCGCTGCCATCCCGTCTTATCTCGACAGCCGAAGCTTTCGTCGTTTTGTTGAGCTCTACGGTCGGCCATTCAAAGAAAAACAGACCACACTCGTGCATGTTGTGTGCTGGCAGTCTACTCCGTATGCATTTGTCGCGTGTGTCCGGATCTGATACTGCCTGCCTGGCCTCGGGATGCAGGACGGCGTCTCGGTTCTTCCTAGCCTGCTGGGCTGCCGGCTGCCATATTGAGTAAGGAACCTGCTCAACGATGATGCGATTAACTGTAATAAGGTGTCTGGCGCAGCTGGGTCTTTGTGTGGATAAGACCTACCTGGGATTAAATCCAAGGCGAAGAGGGTACTAGGTTCCGGAGCCACTACCCAAGCGGTTGCTTTGTTGGTCTCCTCAATGCCCCCAGCACCC